TTTTCACATGGTATTTTCCTCCAGATGGTCACTGGCCCTTCATTTTGTTTTTTAAACATTAATTTTTGAGGGGGGTTGGGGAAGGGAAGGGAAGGGCAGAGAGAGAGAAAGAGAGAGAGAAAGAGGGAGAATCCGAAGCAGGCTCCAGGCTCTGAGCTGTCTGGGCAAAGCCTGATGTGGAGCTCAAACCCACGAACTTTGAGATCGTGACCCGAGCTGAAGTCGGAAGTTCCAACTACTGAGCCACCCAGGTGCCCGACTGACCCTGCCTGCACTGGTCTCTAGGTCAGTATCGAGAGTGACTCATCAATACTCATTAGTGGGAAAGAAAACCACCACCAATTTGCATCCCTGGTGTCCCAGCTCAGGATACAAAGCCAGAGTCATTTTTTGCATTATGAAGAACCAGGTTCTCACAGGATCTCCACTCTGCCTGTGAGCCTGCTGGAATGACTGCATCTTTATGAAGATGCTATCGAGCTTTATAGTACCTGAGTGCTTGAGAGAAAGACATTAAGAGTGCTCTGAGCTACCTCCAGAGCAAACTTTCAGTATTTGCCAACGATAACTGTCAACACTACTCCCCTCAGGTGTCCTAACTTCCCTCCTCCGCTGTGATGGAAGCCGATCTTCCACCCAGCTCCAAGGACTTTGATGGCCCTGTCCCCAAGCTTCAGATGAGGGATCTTTCCTTAGCCTCCCTACAGTTCCTGTCCCTCTGAGCTTGCTCCTGGGCCTTCCCCTCCAGGCAGAGGGAGTACAGCACACCCGAGAAACAGTCCTCAAAGTCTCCACTCCATATAAAAGGTGTCAGGAAAGGCTCAAGAGAAGAGTGACAAAGAAGAATGAGGAAAGTCCCAATAGGAACTGAGCAGAGATAATGATGCTATGTGGACATCAAGCTGTGTGACATCCTGGAAGCCAAGGGGGCCCAGTCCCAACCCACACAGGGGATCCAGCAGCCTGACCCCTGCTGTCCATATGCCACACCTGTCCATTGCGCCCAGCATCAGGGAGGCTCACTGCCTGGCACTAGCTGTTTAATTCTTATTCTGGGAGGGTCCACTCATCTACTTATACAAATCTCTTCTCTCCAAATAGACTAAAAGCACCTCGAGGCAGAAGATTTTCTCCATTTTCCTATCCCACAGAGCCCAGCACAGGATCAGCGCTATAAGGGGACTAGAATGATGCTTCAGATCTTTGCTGCTGTGAGGACCTCAGCCTCACAATTCCCTGGGAGCTTGTTAGAAATGTAGCATCTCATGGGAATGCAAGCTGGTGCAGCCACTCTGGAAAACAGTATGGAGGTTCGTCAAAAAATTAATAGAACTACCCTTCAACCCAGCAATTGCACTAGGCATTTATCCAAGGGATACAGATGTGCTGTTTTAAAGGGACACAGGCACCCCTCATGTTTATAGCAGTACTATCAACAACAGCCAAAGTATGGAAAGAGCCCAAATGCCCATAGATGGATGAATGGATAAAGAAGATGTGGTGTGCGTGTGTACACACACACACACACACACACACAATGGGGTATTACTCAGCCATCAAAAAGAATGAAATCTTGCCATTTGCAACTACATGGACAGAACTGGAGGGTATTATACTAAGTGAAATTAGTCAGAGAAAGACAAAATCCTATGAAAAGATGAAGGGAAACAAAAATATAAAAATGGAGGGGGACAAAAACAGAGGAGACTCAAATATGGATAACAAACTAAGGGTTATTGGAGGGGTTGGGGGGGGATGGGCTAAATGGGGAAGGGGCACTACTCCTGAAATCACTGTTGCACCATATGCTAATGAATTTGGATATAAATTTTTAAAAACAAAAAACTAAAAAAAAGAAATGTAGCATCTCAGCCTCCACCCACACCCACCGAATCACTGCATACCCTAAGTACTTGCTGTTCTGCTCCTGCAATCTGTGCTCCTACTTCCCTTCGTACCTGGGTCAGCCAAACTATAGCCCTGGGCCAAATCTCATGTACTGTCTGTTTTTGTGCAGCCTTGGAGTTAAGAATGGTCTTTAAATGGTTTAAGGGTTTGCAGGGGGGAAAAACGGTGCTATCCAGATGATAACATGTCAATTACGTGAAAGTCAAATTTTGGTGTCCATAGATTTTATCAGTACACAACAGCACATTCTATTTGAATATGGTCTATGGCTGCTTCTGCATGTGGAGGATGGTTGTGTAAGCCTGAAAGGTTTACTATCTGACCATCGCTGTGAAGTTCGTTGCCCTCACCCTTTATACATGTGGTTTCCTCAGTCCAAAATGACCTTCCCTCACTTGTCCGTGTGGGCAGAATCCAAGTCCCAGTGCCCTGTCCTCACTGAACCCTTACCTTCCCTGGGTTAGCCCTCACCCACTCTGAGGTGCCGCAACCCCTTCCAGGATTAACTTTACGGTTCTGCAGGCATTTCTTTTACATCAGTTTCATCTCACTACTTCAAGCTCTTTCCAATATACTACTGGGCATCTCTGTATCCCTGGCAATATAACAGATGCTCAATCACGTGTGCTGAGACAGGAATCAGTAAGTGATGCACTTATGAAGCACCCGGTTTATATGGTAAACACACTGTGGTAGGCGCCATGTAATCAAGTATAAACATGGAGATCTACACCCTGACTTTAAGGAACGTACCATCTAGTTGAGCAGATAATTCACATAAAAATATACTCTGAAGGGTGCTGTGACCATTTCCTAACAAGAGTGATAGTTATTCAGCACAGGTGGGCAAGCAGCAACGATTGATGCCAACTCTGGAAACAGATGGTCAAATGCTCCTCCTTTCAACAGACCTTGTGTATTACAGACCTGATCAAGCAAGTTTTAGATTCAAATCAAGTAAACATTTGAGCACCTAATATGTGCCCGCTCCGTGCTAGATGCGGTCATTTCCTCCATGTCCACAATGAAGATACATGTGGCCGTGCGCGGAGAGGAGAGCAGCTCACTGTGAAAGCAGAACGAGGTAAACCCTGCATTATGATGGTACAGGATGGGCAACATCTGCAGCAGGCCTTCCCACCTTTATCCTATTTCATGGATTCTCAGCTTAAAGTGCCCACAAATTACTGAGCAGAGCTCAGTTACCCAATGTCACGCATCCCACACTTGATGAGCAATTGATAGGATTGCCAAGTGCAATTTTAACCAAATTTTGCTTTATGTGCTGACTTAGCAACGACCACCACACCACTGTCCCTTCCCTCCCCAGACCTACCCACCTGAGGAAGATCCATTACCTTTGTAACCCCCAAACAAGGCAAAACATGATCAATGCAGAGTAAACAGTCAAGTGAACAGGC